GGGGCGGTGGTCGGCGGGGCGGGCGCCGCCGTCGTGGGGACTGTCTTGGTGGGCACGGAAGTCGTGTTTGCTGTCCCAGTTGGGGTCACGGTGGTGTTGGGTTCCACAGAGAGCGCGATGTGCAGGCAGAGCGCGGCCAGGCAGGTGGCGGCCCAAAGGAACTGGCGGGAGGCCCCCGACATCGTGTCCTCAGCGCCGGAGTCCGGGAGAAAGCTGCGGCGCACTACGCTCGGCCAGTGCCTCCGCCCCCTGCGGCGCCGCCTCCACGACTCGGCGCCCCCGCGGGAGCGCGCAAGGGTCACGTGAGGAGCTCGGCCGGACGCGTGCGGGGCGAGGCTAGACGAGTTGGGGCGCGGGCGAGTCCACGGGAGTTCTCGGGGGGAGCAAGCACATCCAGAGGCGAGCTCAGGACGACAGTACTACAGTAAAAGGCATTCATGCGGTGCAAATTGTTTTGACTGCCTTCACATTACCGCATAGATGCGACGCAATTGTTCTCATTTTTGCGTTAGAGAAAACTTCACCTTGGCTTGATTGGAACAGTCCACGTGACGGAGCTGGCGGCGTCCCCTTGAGCGCCCTGCCAGGCGGGCGTCAGCGAATCCACGTGACCTGCGAGGCCACGCCCCCCGGTCCGGGCGGAAGTTGCTTCTCTGCCGGACACTACAGAGGAAGAGTTAAATTTGTCCCTTGTTCCCGGGTTCTGAGAGCGCTTACGCCTCTAATCAGGAGGAGCCGCGCGGTCTTCCTGGAGGATTGGTTTTGTTGGACGTGACCCTAATATGGGGATCGGGGTAATGGAGCTGGACTACGCGGCTAAGGAGTGTCTGTTCTGCTGCCCACGTAGAGCGGCCGGTCGTGGGCAGAGGGCCGACTGCTGGTGCTCTCCCAGCCTCACTCCTCCATTCATCTTTCAAACGGCGGCGGGATCCGGCTCCCTGCCACCGCTGTAGTCAGAACCGCAGGCCGTGCCCGCCCCGCCGGCCCCGCCCCGCGTCGCGGTGTGGAAATGGAGACTTGGGAAACTGACCCAGACCTGGTGGCGAGCTCGCTGGCTGTCTGAGCTGGACTTAGTGTCAGGTGCTCGGGCGCTGCGCAAGCCTTTAGTAAGGGTGAGCGCCATCTGATGCCCAGTCTCGCAAAATGCTTGATGTACTTCTATCAAGCGGTAAAAAAATTATAGACTTTGAAAGCCGTGTTTATTTCGGCTTTTTAATTCTTATGGGTAATTTTAATTACACTTAATAAAAAAATACGAATATTTCTTTTGTGAAGTTTGTATTGCTGTGCCACAAAGAGCAAGATTGAAGCACTTTATCATTTATTTTTTTGCCTAAGGTAGGAGAAGTTTCATTCCTGCCTGAATCTAGTCAGTGTGATCCTTCTGTGCCCCCTGACTGGACATTTTTACCAGTTGGGGATTTGGTCGAATGTAAACAAACAACGAATGGGTTTTGACTGATCGAACCCATGGCCAGAAACCAAGTTTCAAATAGATGCGGTCCCACCAGACAGTACACCGTGTTCAGCACCTAACTGTCTGACTCCCAGGCTGGTCAATTTTAGTCTTTCAAGACTGGCAGTGTAATAGTTCTGTTTTCTCTTCATAGCCCCAATGGATTATCTTGCTTCCACTGTAGGACAAACACATCCCCTACAGAGGCCATTGGTTAACCATTCTTCTGGGTGTTTGACTCTAGAAGTCAGGTTTCCCATAGTCTAGATGAGGGGACATTTCACTATCTTGTTTTAGTATTATAAAACTGTTGGCTCATATTTTACATGATGTAGCTGGGCGTGGTGGCTCATGCCTGTAATCTCAGCACTCGGGAGGCTGAGGCAGGTGGATCATTGAGAGTTCGAGACCAGCCTGGGCTACAAAATGAGCTCAAGGTCAGCCTGAACTACATAGTGAGACCCTGTCTCAAAAAGACCAAAAAAACCCCACCAAAAACCCAAAACACATGTATATATGATATATATATGATATATATGATATATATGACATATATATATATCATATACATATATTTTTTTTTACATGATGTCGGTAGGACTAGATCAAGGAAGTGTTCCAAAGTGATTTTTACTATTTGGAAAAAAGCTTTCAGTTTCTGAAAGCAGGCGTTGACTTTCTACAAAGAATGAGTAAATGATCAAACTGGCCAGTTGTCCATCCTTGCCCAAAATAGCTATGGCTAAGAGGGCAGCTGCTACAAGTAACTTCTTGGACACTGGCTCTTCAGGTGTGGGTTAGGGCAAGAGGGGAGGAGCGGGAGAAAGGACCGTGTCTATTACAATTTTTATATGTATTAACTCTTCTAAATCAGTTTTGATAGAGAAATATTATAACAAATCAAAGGTTAATAGTGAACTAAAACTGTATTCAGATACTTTTGTGTGTGTGTCTTTTTGAGACAGGGTCTCACAGTGTATTTCAGGCAGGCCTTGAACTCACTTTGTAGCCCAGGCTGGCCTCAAACTTGCTGTAGTCCTCCTGCCTCAGCCTCCCGAGTGCTGGGATTACAGACCTGTGCCACTGTGCCCCACTTTTTATTCAGAACTTAATGTTAACACTTAGTGCCTATTTCTTTGAAAACTGTTCCAGAGTTTTGAAGGGTAGTGTTACGCTTTAGTTTCCAGGTGTGGCTACATATTGGGGTGTTGACAAATACAGATGCCTGGGTCCTGACTTCATGGTCTGGAGTAAGGCCTGGGCATCAGGAGGGAAAAGAAGCATTCCACAAAAGACAGGGCTAAGTCTTCCCACTGCAAACAAGCCATTTTTGTCCAGGAGTAAAATGGGCCAAGGTCTGCTTAAATGCTCAGGGGCTCGTGTGCTGAAGACCTAACAAAAATGTTATGAGGTAATCAAATATAATCCAGGATTTTCTCAGGCAGGCACTATAGATATTGACAATTGGGAAAGAGTTTGAAAAATCTTATAAAGGCACACAGTAAAAAACTTGATACCTAGTTCATTCAGTTTTAAGGCCATTACAGCAGCAGAATGATCTTACTGCAGACTTCTTTGTTGATATGCTTGTTAAATTACAAAGTGCAGGATTAGATCTGTCTACAGCTTGCGGCATCACTCTTATTGGGGGTAAAAAACCTACCGCAATTCCCACAGGAATTTGGGGTCCCCCACCTGAGGGAACAATTGGTCTTGTACTGGGAAAAGCTCATCTAAATTTTGTTTTGTAAAGATTAATGGAAAGTATTTTGAAGGCTTGATAGATATTGGCGCAGACATGTCTATACTTATATTAGAACAGTGATCCAAAGGGCACCTACCTCCCTAATAACACTGGGGTCCCTACAAAGCGCCTCACCCCTGCCTTATGAGGCCCAGACCAACAAAAGGGCTTCTTTTTACCATACATGGCACCTATTCTGGTCAAGTGTGGGGAAGAGATTTGTCACAAAAATGGAAATTAATATTGACGTGATTCTGATCTTGACTTTAAACAAACAAATTCTGATTCTAAAATTAAACAGATAGATTCAAATTCTAAAATTAGACAAATGATGATTAACATGGGATATCAGAAAAACAAAAGGCTAGAAAAAACTTACAGGAAATCAAACAGCCTATAAGGACTACACCTAAGGATGACAGGCATGATATTAGATATCAACAAGTTTTTTAACAAGGGCCATTGATACTTCTCCCCCCAAAACAGCTCTGCCTCTACAGTGAAGATCTGAGGAGCCTGTTTACATAAATCAGTGGTGCCTTACCAGGGAAAAACTAATTCAATTACACAAATTAGTTTTAAAAACAATTCCAGCTAGGACATTTAAAAAACTCAGTTAGTCCTTGAAATACTCCTGTTTTGTTATTCCAAAAAAGCAGGCAAATAGAGGTTATTGCAGGGGCTGGGGATTTAGCTCAGCGGCACAGCGCCTGCCTGGGAAGCACAAGGTTGCGAGTTCAGTTCCTGGTACCGGAAGAAAAACAAACAAACAAACAAAAAAATAGAGGTTATTGCAAGATTTAAGAGCTGTAAATGCTTACTTACTTCCTATGGGGGCGTTGCAATGAAGACCACAAACCCAACTGCAGTTCCAGAGACTGGCCTCTCATCATAATTGACTTAAAGGACTGCTTTTTTAACATTCCTCTTTATCCTGCAGATAGGCCACATTTTGCCTTTTCTGTACCTAGTTTAAATTTTAAAAAACCAGTTAATTAATTACATAGATGATATTTTACTGACGACTCCAATTCAAAAACAACTATATGACCTCTTTGCAGAGACAAATCGATATTTAATATCCTTTGGTCTGCATTGCTCTGGACAAAGTATAATTGTGCAGTCCCTTTTATTACCTAAAAACACTAGTGACTAACAGGGCAGTAAAGCCACAAAAGCTAGAGATTCGTCAAGATCATTTAAAAACTCTAAATGATTTTCAAAAGTTATTAGGAGACATGAATTGGATAAGGCCAAAATTGGGTCTTGCTACCTATCAGGTAAAACATTTATATAATACCCTACAGGGAGAGCCGGTTATTGATTCCCCTCCTAGTTTATCTACTTAGGCCCAAAAGGAACTGGCTTTGGTTAAAAAGATGTTACACCAGCGTCAAGTTTTTAAAATAAATACAAACTATCCTCTTATCCTTTACATTTTAAATACTCTTCACTCTCCCACAGGTCTTATAGGACAGTTTTATGATAAACAAATTTATTCTATTGAATGGCTTTACCTTTCTAATCATTTAATCAAAACCTTACAGTTATATTTAGAACAAATTGCCAAGGCTGTCAC